AAATGTAGTCCATGTAATTCTTGGGAAGCATTATTTTTCCTCTATAATGAATTTCTAGTATTGGACCATATCCTATTCTAACTCAAAAATAATCTCTGAGAATAAAACAAGACACAATGTATGAGGAGAATTTCCAGGGTGCAGTAGAGACACCCACACAACTGACCTAAAAACATCTCTCAAGTTGTTACAATGGTTATCTTTGAACTTAGCCAAAAATCTTATAATCTCCTGCCAAAATAACATCTCAGCTTTGGCTCTGGATCTCTAGTTAGTTTTCAGATTAAGCCTTTTTTGTTTTTTCCTTAAAGTTTCTCTTTCTAGGAAAATTTCAGTGTTGTGGTAGAAATCATGATATGTGTGAAATGTTATCTGACCCAAAGGAAGGTATTCACAATTTAAGGAGTTCCTACCATGTGCAAAGCATTTTAGTTTCCGTGACTTTAGATACAAAGGCAAAATGAATATGATCCCTTATTTTATCAAACTTTACCAAGTAATAATTCAATGATTATCCAGGTAGATGAGATAAACCTATCAGTAAATCCAAAAATAAGTCAGTGTGAGCTTCTGCACCAGCCGTAAACCCATCCCTGAGACCCCTTTAGACATTCATATACAGAATCCAACTCTTCCTCTAGAACCATTACAAGATTAGCTACCAGTTGTACATCAACCAGTCCTAATATATAACAGGGTTTCAATGTTGTTTTGCATCAGTGAAGGTGTCAATCATGTCTATGGTGATAGTTAACACCACCTCCCTCTCCCTCATCCCAAACCTTTGCTTCTGCTGGCTGCCTCCTCTGACCACCACTCCCCTTAACTGGATGGGTTTGGTAAACCTTGGTTTGAGCTAGATTTCTGACAACTATTTCCCACTGTTTGTACCTGAATAGTGCCACTGGTGCCTGCATAAGGAGGGGAGAGATAAAGAAGAAAGAAAATAAAATGGAGAAGTTCAGTAAAATAAATAAATAAACAAAATTGTAAAGGCAGCTGAGAGCCAGGTTGTACAAGGTATTGAATGCAAAATGAGAAGGAATGACGTAATTCCATCTTTCTTTTAAAACAAGTACTGATATCCAAGATATTACTAATCCCCTGGTGTGTGTCACTGCCTTTGTGGTGGAATGTGACAAGTCTCAAATTTTCCAAATTTAACATTGCTTTATTTTCTATAAAATTAAAGTACAATCAATATTATTCCTGTAATAATAGTTTCTCAAACTTTTGTGACAATGAACCCTGAAACAAAAACAAGCGGAAAAGAAGCCAACTTTATATGGATCTCCAATATTGACCAATCATCTTCATTTTAAGTTTTTATAATTGGTTGAAAAATGTACCCCCAACCTCAAGGATATCCAAGTCCTTTCTCCAAAACCTGTACGTGTTACTTTCAATTGCAAAAAGGTGGGGACGGGGTTTGGAGATGTGATTAATTTGAGAAATTTGAGATGTGAGATCATGCTGGATTTTCCAGAGGAAGGCAAAGGACAAATTGATACATGAAGAGGACAAGGCAAGTGAAACTGGAGAAGACCAAGGTTTGAGGATGTGGCCACAAGCCAAAGAACTCTAGCAGCCACCACAAGCCAAAAGAGGCAAGGAAGAGATTCTATTTGAGTCACCGAAGGGCGTGTGGTCCTGTTAATGTCTGAATTTCAGCCCAGTGATAGTGATTTGAGACTTTGGATCTGCACAACTGTGAGATAGTACATTTATTTTATTTTAAAACTCCAAGATGATGGAAATTTGTTTCAGCAGTCATAAGAAACTAATCATTTTTATTTTAAACCTGACGTGTAAACATCAAACAATGAATAAGTTCCTTATGCTTATGGGTATAAAACATCTCCAAAATCCCACCACACTTATAAATGGAATAAAAAGGAAGATTTTATTTATTCGAACCAATAAAACTCAATAACAAAAGGAATATAATGTGACTGATGATTGCCAAAATAGGCCACTGTTTGCAATACGAACATAGCTCTTACAGTCATGTTGCAAATTCTCTGAAGCTTCATCTGCCTAAACTTCAGGGTGCTCTGTGCTGACTTCAGTCTCACACCACTTCTCTAGTTGGGAAATGTGAGGAAGCTCGTGGATATTCTGAAAGCAGTAAATATCTCTGCCAAAATATGAACCTACAATGACTTCTCTTCTGATCACTTGCATTCAAGTTATTTTTTGTAAGAGGGGCAAAATTATAAGCAGCCCCACTCATGTGATTGTGATTCCCCTCGACCTGCCTATTTGTGATGCAATACTAGTTAAAAGCCTCCATCACCATGCTACGAGTATAATACTAACATCAATGTATTATATTTGTAAAAGTTTTCCATCTTAAACTATAGATAATTTAGAAAGGCAAACAAGGATTTAAAATGCCTAATCAACATTCATTCACTTCTGCATTGCACCTAGGTTAGAATAATTCCATAAATATTTCATTCAGAGAACAAAACCAAAGGCCAAGTAATTATTAAAGTGAAATTGACATACTGTAGCCATATTGAATGGCATGTTAAAATGACAGAAGTTCAATTAATTACTATATGTCTTTTCAAATAAAGGTTTGTGTAGTTATGCTTTAATAGTATGTACCTACTTTTTAAAAAGTTATACATGTCATTGAGATCTGGAAAAAAGCTCAAAATTATTATTAAAACCTTTTTTGTTAGAAAATGTAAAACATACATATAGAAAAGCACATAAAGTGTAAGTGGATATTTTAATTTTTATATAAGATTATTTTGTTAAAATGTACGTTTGATCAAAAACCAGACCCACATATATATGAAAAAATATATGATAGATATGTCATTACAAATCAGTATAAGTATAATGGGCTATTCAATAAATATGTTGAGATCATAGACCATACAAATACTAATTATAAAATTAGGTTTTTATCTGAATCATACATGCACACATACACATACATATTTTTATTTGAATTAAAAATGTTAACACAAAATAATTTTAAAACACTGAGAAAATACATTATCTATGTTGAACAGCTTTTCTTATGTAAAGAAATATGAAGTACTAGAGATTGATTAGACTGACTTAGTTAAAATTTAAAGTAACTAATCTTAACAAACAACTCCATAAATAATGTAAAAAAGAACTGTAGACTGGAAGAAAATATTTTGAATGTATATAGCCCATATTGTTGTAAGATATTAGAATATAGGCCAGGCGCAGTAGATCACACCTGTAATCCCAAAACTTTGAGAGGCCAAGGTGGAAGGATCACTTGAGATCAGGAGTTTGTGACCAGCCTGGCCAATATGGTGAAACTCCATTTCTACTAAAAATACAAAAATTAGCTGGGTGTGGGAGTGCACTCCTGTAATCCCAACTACTCAGGAGGCTGGGGCAGAAGAATTGCTTGAACCCAGGGATTGGAGGTTGCAGTGAACCCAGATTGCTCCACTGCACTCCAGCCTCAGTGACAGAGGAGAGACTGTCTAAAAAAAAAAAAAAAAAAAGCAAAAGAAAAGAAATTAGAATATAGAGTACATTACAAATTAATGAAAAAAAAAAAAAACAGGCCAATAGAAAAGTGGTCAAAAATTATAAATAATCTGTTATTCATAGAAAAGAAAAGGAGAATAGCTAATAAACACATGAATATATTCCTGCAACATCAGTAGGAACCAGAGAAATGCAAATTAAACCAATGATGAGATTCCATTTCAACTTATCAGACTGGAAAGCCATCAATCATTCAGTGTACGTGCAATGAGGGAAAGAAATCTCATAGAATGCCATTGGGGTATTTGATAAAACCATATGGAAAGCAAGTCTGTAATACCTAGTAAATCTGAAGGTGAATACACTCTAAATTTAGGGGTCCACTTCTAGAGGTCTGCTCTAGAGTGTGAAGAGTCTTTCTTTGTAAAGTTGACTTTCTCTGTTCTAGACAAGAAAGTCTCCCATAAGTGAGCAAGGATGTTTGTTGCAGCAGTATTTGTTACAGTGAAATGATGAGAGAACTAAAAGAAAACTACTATACTTCAGTAGCAAAATGGCATAGGTAATCTGGTTTATTTGGCTCTTACAATCCCATAAGACCATTGGTTAAATAACTACATCGACATGTATCAAAATATGTTGACTACAAAAAGCAAGGTTCAAGAGGGAAAATATACTGTGATACAATTTAAGTAAAAATTTAAGCAGAACCATATAAATTGCTTATGAATGTAAACATACAAAAAGTACAAACTTATGTATTGCAATTATGTACAAAACTTAAGCCTTCAGGGAGAAAAAGGAGGGTAATGAATGGGAGCCTAGCTTTAGCTGTATCTCTGTTTTTTCTTTTAAAACATAAAGGACAACTTTGAAGCCAATATGGAAAAATGTAAAGATTTGTTAGTCTGGGTGGTGGGTACAGCATGTCTGTTATATTGTTTTCATTGCTTGCTGCATATTTGAAATATTTCATATTAAAATGTTTAACAACAAAATTGTCACGTTTATTTATTTTTCACTTAAATGACACTTTTGATATCTTCAAATGGCTAATTTCATTACATGCATGGTTTTAAAAGATTTTAACGAATATTGCACTGAAAAGTGCAATATTTATTTTATTTATCCATATAATGTGTCAATATCTGGCTATGTTCATGGGAGTATGTTGCTGATGTGAAAATCATCTATCTTGAGTGTCACAGCACATAAAAGATGGAGAACTTTTGGCACGGAAAGAAAATTCTGATAGCAGATCCCAGGATAGAAAGAAAAAGATACTGGAAGCAGGGAGCCCCGTTGCAATAGACATAGTGAAATTGTTAAGTTCTACCAAGAGGAAGGCAAAATTGAACATTTCTTTCAATGCTATTTTAATGGCAAGTTCAATGAGATATGACAATTAAGTGAATATAGAGGAAAGTGTAAAAACATCACTCTGAGATTTTATATCTCAAAGAAGGTGACATTGAGATATGGGAAAACATGATGCTTTTTTTTTTTTTAAATCACAAATAACTTTTTATTTGCCACTACTTTAAGTCTGAACTTTAAACAGATTCTTGGACTGGTGGTTCATATCCATCAGCTCGTTCAACTTTAGCACCTGTCTCATCTCCAGCGGCTTTTCCAGAACTACTGCCTTCACCATGAAGCTCCATGAGTTTTCCCAATTCAAACTTGGGCTTCTTCAGCATTTTAACTTTTCTAACGAAGACATCATGGAGAGGATAAATAGATTGGCAAGCCTTTTCTATGTCTTTTCCAATGCTGTCTGGAATCAGTTTATTGACCACTTCTTTCAAGTCATTTGTCTGCACCTCTCGGGGCATGATTTCCATCAACTTCTTCCGGATTTGGCGGACCTGTTGGTGCTGAGCAAAAGAGGTCTTCCGTATCTGATTGTTGCGTTTTTTAGTAAAACCAAGACAGAACAGACAAAGCAAGTAACCATCGGTAGCCTTGACATCAACATGAGCTTCAGTCATTGTCTGCCATGTTTTGACCATGGAACACATTTTGTCACGGGTAAGATCTGTGCCATGGAAGTTAGTCAGGCAGTTTTTGCCCTGAACATCTTCAGTCATGAGCTTGAATTTCCTAAATGCAACTTCAGCATTCTGCCAATCAGCAAGACTAACTTCAAACACTCGGCCCTTGAGGCCATCGGACGCAATTTTGGTTCCTTGGGTCCTGGTGCCAACCGCCATGGTGCTGCTCAGAGAGCCAAAAGGGAACATGATGCTTTTAAATGGAGAAGATAGCAAGCGCTGGTTAGGACGAGCTGGATTGCATATGGCGTCTCCCGCAGAAGCTGGAGACGGGAGTCCTCAATCCAAGAGGAGGTCTGGAATAGCAGGAGAATGTGACTCCCATCTGAGGCTCTTTCACTTAATTTCCAGCTCCTTCTACCCTTTTTCTTTCTCTTTCCTCAGGTTGCTTCCCCTACTGTATTACTGAATTACATGATATACTTTTTAAATGGCACGTATTTCGTAAATGTCCAAGGATCCTTATTTCTTATGCGAATCTAACTATATTCCTTACTGGAAAATGCACTATAAGCAGTATTAGATCACATTTCTGTGGTTTCTTTAGCTTGCTTAGGGTTATTGGTTTATCCTCTTTCTGGCATTTATTGCTCACCAAAACTTCCCTAAGGGTTTCCGGACCTTTGGAGCTTAACAGTTAATATCTATCATGAGAATGTAGACAAGAATTCTGGAAGTATAATGGCCACTGAAAAGAACAACACATCCTTCTCAAGCCCTTTTAGTATGCTATCAGAGGCAACTTTGCACCTATCATGGCAGGGTAGACTTAAGATAAAATGCGCCTCCCAAAACATCTAACAATTAGAAAATTAGATATTATATATTGATCCCTGGAGGTGATTGAAGCTAGCAAGACACTCTAACAAATGAGTCAATGAATGAAGTGGCTCTAATCATCTCTGATATTACAATAGCCCAGCTGGGAAGCCAGAGAGGCTTATTTTTAGCTATGATTCTATGAAATAGTCATGGTGCTTTTACCTTTTTATTTGTTGATGTATTTGTTTGTTTATCTGTATTTGAGATACATCCATAACTTGGACACTATGGAATTATCCTGCAAGCAATACAATCACTAAGCAAGCAGAGTGAACCAGGTTTTGAGTATAAACAGAAGCACAAGCACATTTACTAGAAGGACTCCAAGGGGCTGCCTATCCCTGAGACTGAGGACAGTGGAGCAGGCAGTCATGACCTGATCCAGGATGGATCTGTCGACATCCCGAAATGCACAACTTCCATTGCCTCATGACATTCTGTTCTTTGTCAGGAATGTCCAGAACATTCGTATGAACCTCTTTCATAACACATCACCCACACTAAAATGAGGGAAGTTTTCTACTTCTTCTATCCTCTAACTTAAAGCTTCCCTTCCTCTAATATATGACTATTTAAATTTGGAGGCTAGGCATGGTGTCTCATGCTATTCAGGAGGCTGGGGCAGGGGAATTGCTTGAACCCAGGAGGTGGAGGTTGCAGTGAGCTGAGATCACAGCAATGCACTCCGGCGGGGTAACAGAGCAAAGCTCCGTCTCAAAAAGGAACATAGAAACATTATTCTTGCACAGAATTATTTATTTATTCAGTATGTATTAGCTTCAAGCAAAAATCTAAACACTACTATAAAATAATAAAATTTAAAAGAGAAAAGTGTGTGCCTTTATAGGGTTGATATTGTTTTCGAGTATAGTACATTGAAAATAAAAAAGTAAAATATTGAGCAAATCATTAAACTAGAGCAGGAAAAGTAAATAGGTAGTAAAGAGGGTTTACCATTTTAAATGGAGCTTGTCAGAAGGGCTCACTTAGGAGATAAAACTCAGCCAAGACCTGTGAGGTGTAAGACGCTTCCATGCCGCCGAGTGGAGCTGAGTGCCACAGGCAGGAGGCACAGCAATGCCGAGGAGCTGGGGTGAGGCTGCCTGAAGTCAGAGGAACAGTGGCAAGGCAGAGGGACCTGGAAACAGCCGATGAAGAAGGATGATCTTGAGCAGGACATTGCTCTCAGGTGGGGACAGACCCACACAGTGAAGACTTGCCTTTCACTCTGAATGAAATGAGAAAACGCTGAAGCACTTGATGAGAGTAATATAACTCGTGCTGCAGGGGCTGAGACAGAAGCAGAGACCCACTAAAGTCTCTGAAATTGTGTCTGGAAGAGATGACAGGAAATGAGTCCCTGAAGTTAGCCATGCAGTAGCAGTATCTTGAAGGTAGATTCTGGTTTTGCTGACGGATTGAATGCAGATTGTGCATGAAAGAGAAAAGCTAAAGAAGAATCCAAGGTTTTTGTGACCTGAGCAGCCTCGCAGGATAAACGTACCTAAACACTGTGGAGTGGAAGAATGCAGGAGATGTTGGTTTGAAGGTAGTTAAGAGTCTATGTTTGAGGTTAGACACCGAAGTATTAATAAGTAATCCCTTTCAAACTTTCAAATAGCTCCACTCACATAAGTAAAAAAGGAAGTCGTTTAAGCAGAAATACAAAATGAAACAGAAACAAAAGCATGTGCACAAATAACAGGGTTCCTCATTGTGCAGAAAATCTTTATTCTCATCTCCATTTGAGAGGAAGTTGAAAAGCTTTATACTCACTTCTTTTTAAGGAGTTAGAAATAGAGGAGTGATTAAGAAATCAGAGTGAAAAATATCATTCAGAATGAGGAAGCACAGGGTCTAACCTATTCTATCTCAAAAAGAAGGAAAGGTACTCAAAGTGAGAAAGGACAGAAGGAGCCATCATGGAAGGACTGCCCTGCTCAAGACCAATGCAATTTCAAGGAAGCAGAAAGTCTTGAGTCTAAGACTCTTTTTAAATCTCTCTTCTAGACAAAGTTTAGAGTAACCAGCTTCAGATCGACTTCAGTATTTGAATTCCAGGATAGTTATCTTCAGTACCCAAACGCGTTTTTGGCTTCTACTTATTCTGAGGCTCAATTAGTCTTAGCTTTAAATTATCATACTAAATAAAATAATTATACTGTGTTTTGAAATTTTTTTTTCTTGGTTGTTCTTAAATTGATTAAGGCGAAAAATGCTCCTCTTAATTGGTGTGACGGTAAACACTTTCTGCATTAGGAATATGTGCAAAAATGTGGGGCATGTAAATAGGCACTCTCTCCTTATTCTGTGAGGATGCCCTTTGGGAGCTTTGGGATCTCGCAGAGTCGAAACACAGACCTACCCAGAGTGACTGGGGAAACTCTTTGTCCATGCTCTAAGTGTCCTCTTTCCTAAAATACCAGTTGGCTGATACAGCGGTAACCACCTCCTGTGTTTAGAAGAATGTTATTTTTCTTACAAATGAAGTTGGACTACATTGTCTTTGGAAAAGATATGAGGAGATGTTGCTCACAGGAAACAGAAGTTTAGTTAGGCAGGAGGAATATGTTCAAGAAATCTACTGTCCACATGGTTACTCTAGTTAAGAGTGATATAGTGTAATGGTGAAAACTGATCAGAAAGTAGACTTCAGATATATATTTATGGGTATATATATGTTTTTATTTATAAAATATATATAAATAAATTTATAGCTCTACCATCTGATATATTTATTGTTATATATTTTATAAATAAAAGTATATTTATATACTATATGAAATACATTAAAAATAGAAATAGAAATACTTTTAAAATATAGGTATTTATCTATAAAGTATTTACATATTATATAAATATATATTTATATAAAATATATAAGTAAATATATGAATATATATTCATATATATAAATAAATATGTGAATTTATATTTATATGTGAAATTTTTGTTAGTGATGTAATTTACATATGTAGGAAGTGACATGACTGTGCCTCCTGAACTTGTCCTAGTGGAGAGCTGAGGACCCACTGCAGAGCCGGAGGCTGAGATGATCATTTGAGGTCAGGAGTTCAACACCAGCCTGGCCAACATGGTGAAACCCTATCTCTACTAAATTAGCTAGGTGTGGTGGCATGTGCCTGTTATCCCAGCTACTTGGGAGTCTGTGGCAGGAGAATCACTTGAACCCAGGAGGTGGAGGTTGCAGTGAGCCGAGATCATGCCACTGCACTCTAGCCTGAGTGACAGAGTGAGATTCCATCTCCAAAAAAAAGGTATGTGAATACAACTTCACTAATAATCAAAGAAATACAAAATAAACAGTGGTGAAAAAGTGCTTCAAACATTATAAAATAGAAGAATGTACAGTAATGACAATAAGTTCAGGAAACAACAATTGAATACATTGCTGTGTAAATTGGTATAGTATTTATAGGCTGTTTTGTTAGAGGGCAAATTAGAATTGTAATTGGAGAAATAATGCAAATTTGATGGTACTATATGTTTCATAGCTATGAAAACATAGAAACAACTTAAATTTCCAATAATAGAGGGTTATTTTGGCAAATTACATCTATAGAAATAAATATTATATAAATAAATAAATAAATATTAAAATGCAGTGGGAAGGTATTTATTTATTATTCCAAGTGGGAGAAAACATTTATCTTATACTTACTAAGGGAGGGAAGAATTTAACAGCATGGCTCTGTGAAGTCAGACTGCCTGGCTTTGAATCTCTTTTCCATCACTTTTAGTATATGAAAGACTGGCAAGTTACTGAAGTTAGTGATAATGTTTGAAGGCTTACTCTACACAACTGCAAACTAAGAGCATAACAGTGTCTGCTTCAGAGGGTTGTCATTAGGAGTATGGGATAAAATCCATGTAAACCACACGCGAGAGGACCTGAGACACTAAAATACTTAGTAAATGTTAGCTGCTGCTGGAAAAAAGGAAAAAATTGTCTTCCACGAAACTGGTCTCTGGTGCCAAAAAGGTCAGGGCCACTGTTCTACATGCCCTAGCAATGCACTATCGCTCTCTGAACTTTCCACAGCTTCAAGACAAATACTCTGGTTTTGGCTTTGCAAAACGCAACTACTTCCTATGCTACGTCTATGCAAAATAAAATAGTTTTGTTGGCCAGGCGTGGGGGCTCACGCCTGTAATCCCAGCACTTTGGAGGCCAAGGCAGGCGGATCACCTGAGGTCGGGAGTTCAAGACCAGCCTGAGCAACATGGTGAAACCCCATCTTTAAAAGGAAAAATGTAATAAATATTTATTTTTTAATCAAAATAAGAAAATATTAATTTTTAAAATATATTTTAAA